TGGTTAGGTTTGTGTTTTGTTTACTAGCATTTCGTATTTTATTCACCGTAAGAAAGAGTGAATAATAAATAGTACTAAAACTAGCTAGAAACAAACCCTAAACCATAGGTTTCTTTCTTGGATTCGAAAAAAAATTAGTTACATACATACACATTTCAAATGTGAAAAATAAGTTGCTTCTAATGACTTCGTTTCGAATATTTTTATATAAATGCCTGAAAGTTACGCTACCACAATACGTGTTTTCTTATCTGATATCCTACGGTCCTAAATCATGGCGGAGGTTATTATTAATAAATGACAGGACATACTAGTTAATTCTGTTGCTAAACTCCTGACAAGTACAAGCTCCCTGATGGAAAAAGTATTCTATTCAGTATTTTCCAAAAGAAGACAAATATACAATAAATAAATAAATAAACAGTTTTTTGTTGTCTGACGTTTTCGCCGATAGAGTGGGCCAGTGTCTTGATGTTTAATAATAATTACCGTGATATTTCCCTTGAGATCACCCAAAAGAATAAGCTATGGAACAGTGTATTATAAACGGATTTTCGAGTAATTCTCTTACTGAAGACCATTATCTTATCGACTTAAAACATTTCAGACACTAATAATATGAATATCTTGACAACAAAACGACTTGCAACTCTTCTTCGGACTCCTTTATCTGCAGTCCCTCGTCAAAAGGGATGATTCCAGGTATTTTAAAAGCAATGAAGGAATAAGGCCAATATATCACACGGTGTATAAAGAATTTCTTATTGTGTGGGCGAAAGAACTTTGCTTCAGGCACTTCTAAGTTAGATCTCTCGCTCAACATTTTGATAAGGATTCTTTTGTTCTAGTTAGTTTGAAGTACTGTGAATATCTGGATCGGATAACCAGTAAACCTTTTATATAATTCAGGACATTTGAGAGAAATCTTGTATATGACGAATCTAACATAATTCTGATATCAAAGACTCTAAAACGTATTTTTCCTCAGGCCTTATAATAATTTGAACACGGTCAGTACTGTTCCGTTGACCTCAAATAGGTGTAAAAATGTTAAGATGTAGATGGTCAGTACTGTTCCGTTGACCTCAAATAAGAGTAACAATGTTAAGATGTAGACGGTCAATATTGTTCCGTTGACCTCAAATAAGAGTAACAATGTTAAGATGTAGATGGTCAGTACTGTTCCGTTGACCTCAAATAGGTGTAAAAATGTTAAGATGTAGATGGTCAGTACTGTTCCGTTGACCTCAAATAGGTGTAAAAATGTTAAGATGTAGACGGTCAATATTGTTCCGTTGACCTCATATAAGAGTAACAATGTTAAGATGTAGATGGTCAGTACTGTTCCGTTGACCTCAAATAGGTGTAAAAATGTTAAGATGTAGACGGTCAATACTGTTTCATTGACCTCAAATAGGTGTAAAAATGTTAAGATGTAGACGATCGATACTGTTCCGTTGACCTCAAATAGGTGTAAAAATGTTAAGATGTAGACGGTCAATACTGTTCCATTGACCTCAAATAAGAGTAACAATGTTAAGATGTAGATGGTCAGTACTGTTCCGTTGACCTCAAATAGGTGTAACAATGTTAAGATGTAGATGGTCAGTACTGTTCCGTTTACTTCAACTAAGTGTTCCTCATGGAACGTCTAGTTGCCTGCAGTTTATACATAAAATTAATTATTAGTTACTTTATTAGATTATATAGAATTTTTAAGTTGTGTGAAGGAATATTATCAAAAATATGTTTTACTGGAATAAACGGGATTTGATCGTCTTAGTCTGAGGATAAAATGATGGTGTTACGTCTTCGTTTGTTAACTAATTTCTCGTAAATTAGTTCCGACGAAAGTTTAGCGACACAAGTCCTTACTTAATAAAACTGGTTTATTTTTTCCGAATATAACTTTACCGATACACTTATTTTCAACAGTCGCTCTTTTACAAACGTTTTAACAACGAACGTTAACTTCAACAATACTTCCTGACTGCAGTTCAATTACTCACTACCTACACACACATTGTCACGTCACGCCGTGACCATCTTATATATATCAGACCACCCCCCAATCTAGTAAATGCTAGAGCACTCCCGAAGGAACGGGATAGTTCTAGAAAGCAGGTGGCGTGACAATAGTCACGTGATCTCGCTGACGCAACAATGGTTTTTGTTTATCTTCGTAATTTGAGTGGAAAAGTTGTTGTTGTAATTGTTCTCTTATCTAATGGAACTACGCTGTCTTTGTCTATATGATTATAGATTAAAAAGTTATGGGAAAACGGATAATTTCTAGTTAAAATGAATCAAATGGACATAAAAAAGTTCTTATTTCAAATACTTGTTTGTATTCAGGGACGAGATTTTAATACAAATACACACAAGCAGATGATGTTATAATCTATATACTACTAAAACTCTGAGATTGTTTGTGTGTGAGCTTGTCTGTAATTAAATAAAGCAAAAACGGCGCACAACAGCCCCATATTTGTAATGAAATGAGAATAGAAACAGAATAAAACAAGTTTCGTTAAAATCGAGCCACGGGTTACCGAGTTAGCTTCGTTTTTCGGGTTACTAATTAAATACAAAAAAACGGCGCAAAATAGTGCCATACTTGTAATGAAATGAGAATAGAAACAGAATAAAACAAGTTTCGTTAAAATCGGGCCACGGATAACCGAGTTAGCCCCGTTTTTCGGGTCACTTTTATGAAAATTTCTAGATGAATTTAGGTACACTAAATGGCGCTACATATCATTTTATCTATTTATCTATTCGTTTTCCACCTGATGAATCACTTTAAAATATCTTCTATACAACAATATATGCACAACAGAAATTAAATGATGAGATAAAAATGTGTTATAACGGCGTGTAGAAAGAACAATAACAAAATGGACCTACAATATTATTGACTATTTGCAAATAGTAACTATGGAGATGAGGTAATAAAATAAAAATCAAGTCGAGAACAACAACAAAATTTTATATACGAAAACCTCTCGCGGAGCATTGGCTATTATATTATTTCCCTGTCAATGTTCCCATCTTCATTGAAAGGCGTAAGATGATAAAAACA